GGTCACCAGATTTCAAATCAGGACACGAACTATCAAAAAGCAATACTAGTTAATTACATCCAAAATATGAAGTAACGTTTGTTAATAACAAAATGTTATTAACATTCTGGGAGGATCAAAGAGTGTTACCAACTCTTGTGGGTTAACCAAATATTTGTTAGAAACATAGGATTTGTGTTAATAGCACGAAATGTTACTGACCAGTTAGAAGTGTTTTTAAAAGTTATCAACAAATGTTAATAACAAATGTTATTAACTACGGTGTAAACACGGCTTTACATAATTTTTCCTGACCTGTAGACCATTTCTCGTCTCGATATCCATCATCAGAGAGTTTGGATAATTTACAATATTTCTTCTGCCTATCCCATGAATGGTGGATATTACTCATCCTCATCGCCATATTAATTATCTGGCGAAGCATCATCAGCTTGTCACATTTTTTGCTTCTTTCTCCAACAAACTTTGCCAAGATCCCTTTCTCAAACGATTCCAACACTTTATGTCTGCAGGAATTTTGCAGTTACTAATGTGATGGTTTCCCCTGTGACGTCTGTCACCAAATCTATCAACTGGTTTATTTTTCTTTATTTTTTTTATTCATTGCTTTAGACAATTATTACTTTTGTAGTATAGTTAATTTTACAATATACTGGGTGTCCACAAAGTCTTGGTCTGATTTAATAGCTTTGCTGTACGAAAACCATAGAGCCACACTTAACTTGTATGCCTTTTTTTTAAGGGAATTTATCCAAGTTTTATTTAATGAAATTAGTTACACCTTAACATAGCTGATTGACAACAATACAAGTTATGATTCAATATAATTACAAATCAGAAATGGTGAAATTACAAAAAAAAATACAGTTTGTTTTGTTGTTTCACGAAACCCAATCCCCTATAGCAGTACAACGACTATCCATTTAAGTGGGAAGATTAACAGACACAATAATTGTAGAATTTTGGGAAGCTAAGATCTCAGGACTGTAATTAAAAATGAAAGGGTCATGTCCAAAACTAAATCTTTGGTGCGGTGTAATGCATGATGGAATCATTTGATAGTTTTTCTTTGAGGAAGAAAATGTAAATGGGTTTGTTTACTTGGTTATGTTGGAGTTGTATGTAATTCCTCAATTATAAGAACTGCAACTCATGATAATTTTTCAGCAAGACAGCGGCGCTCCGCCTTATTAGGCTAAATGTGTGAGGGATTTTTTTAAATCTTCACTTCCCCGGTCGCTGGATCGGGCGTGATGGCCTGACCAAATGGCCACCTAGTTCCCCCGATGTAACCCCCATGGGTTTCTTTTTTTGGGTATTTGTCAAGGACACTGTCTATTCTTCCCCGGTTCATAATTTACACACACTTGCGGGAGAGATTCAGGAATTCTGTGGCGTCTGTAACCCAGGATATAAAACCTAAAACTAAAACCTGGGACAGTCTGAAAAGACGGATAGAATATCTCAAGGCCACTGTAGGCGCACACATAGAGTTGTGTTACGTTTGTACATAGTTATAAAATCTTAAGAAGTTGCCTGTTATATCTGTAAATAAATCTTTATCCCACGATCACTCGTTTTCATACTATGCGGTTTCTGTATCAGACCAAGACTTTGTGGACACCCGGTATTTACAGTAAAATTAATATTTACAGTACAATAGGTTGCATAGGTTTGATTATCAAATCACCATATGTATAAAAGTTAACTTTTAACAAATAATTAATACATGAAAAAAGAAACGGAAGAAAACTACAAAACATTATACATTTGACAGGAAAGCCTTCAAACATTTAACACTTAACCCCTAAGGAATATATTTCTGTGCATCAACTCCAACAGTGTGCAGTGTACTCATCACAACCGAATAGAACACCTGATTTTTCAAGTCACGTTTCTGTTTAGTTTTAAATAGATGGGAACTTTCCAGACTTTTAAGCCTCTCAGGAAGACAGTTAAGGAGCCTGACACCTACTTGAGAAGGAAGTTTCTCAAATGCAGCGGTTTGGTGTTGGACAGTGCAAAAACTTTTACTTGCTCTTGCCCCGTGGCTGTGCACAGCAGTACCTTGAATAGGCACATGTTGATACCGGCAGTATACAGCAGTTTCCAATATATACAGGGAAGGTATGTCCAGAATTCCATTTCAAGCTCGTCTACACGACGATCTCCGCCTCACTTTCTTCGCTGACGGGAGCAGGGAGGCGAAGATAAATAACTCACAATGTGCAATTATACTAATTTATTTAAAAAGAAAGGGCATTGGATCACACGAAAACGTTGATTTACTTTGAAACATCAATTTAGAACTAATTTAACTTTGAGATATTAATTTAGAAACCGGATCTAGAAGAAGCAGTAAGATATAAGGGGAGGCCGCAACGCAAACCTGGCTGATAGGTCCTACATCTTGTCGCGATCATCAGTTTGGCGCAGTTGTGCTGCCATGCTGACGCGGTCACATGACCGTCGCGTACCAATCAGAGCATGCCGAGCCCTTAGCCCATGATTCAATGTGACAACTGAAGCTTGAAGTTAAATAAAATACAATACCGCTAGAAATGGTTGGTACAGCAACCTAATGAATATCGGGCATTAGCCGTTAGGCCAGGTATAGGGAGTATGGCCAGTCAACTAAATAAAGCTCAAAGTTAAGAATTAATAACAAAATGAAGCAGAAATATTCTAGGCCGTCACACCCGCACACCTGATGAAACAAGCTAAGTCACTACCTTTTCTTCATGCGAGTACCCAAGGTGTTCTTTCTTATCTGATTCTGAAATTGTTCTTTCACTTTTGAACACAAATTTAATTGATTCTTGGATTTTTGTTGTTTTGCTTTTGATTGGTTCGAGACATTGGTTAAATTTGTTTGCGAAATTCAATTAATTTTGATAACAACCTTACATCAGTACCAAAATAAACTGCTGCTGCAAGTGGACATCAGATTTCGATGCATAAAATTTTGGAAATTTGAAATCACATTAACTGGCTAAGGTTTTTGAGGTTTTTGGCAAAACTACCTACAGATTCAAACGGTTTCTGGACATATTTCATGAACTTGTGTTGCTCCACGATAATGCCATACTACCCTTGTTTTCAAGTAATGGTTGTAAAGTTTCAAACAATTCATTATAGGCAGTGGCTATTCGCACGTCAGATCATGAAATACTTTAGATGTTAACAAATTTATTAAATACTGCTATTTCTTTACTTCTGATGTAATTTCATTTAAAAGTCAAAAAAGTGAAATTAAATTAAATATGTTTATTTATCCCAATTTCATTACAGAAAGGTAATAAAACAGACAGCAAGCTTAACTAGTACAACATTAATTAATTGTCAGATGAATCTGCCATACTTATGGGATAGGCCTACATGGACAGGTGCCTGTGCGTAGGCCTGGTTGTTATCAGTCTACGTAATTAAGGGCAAAAAAACTGAATATGGGAAAGATTTTTTTAGCCTTATTATTTGAAAGAAAAGCTGAAATGTGTTTGTAAGAATGTCGGTGACGACAACCAAAGCCAGTTCAATCAAAAGAAGACATTTAGAGGTTGAAGGGGTCGAAAGGTCAAGGATTTTTAGTCAGAGTCAAGTATGGTTTGGTCTAATCAAAGTCTCGGCCTCTTCTTTGGTAATGGAGAATAAGAACAGAAGAAAGAATTAAGAATAAGAAATAAGAATTCTTTGGAAACAAGAATATGATTTTTGAATTTCTGTAATGAGGGTAAACTAAAACCGTGTTGAATATCATTTTTTTGAATTAAATTACGATAGAGAATCTGAGCACCATAAAAACAGTTGGTAGTTAGAACTGATTTATGTAGCTGAGGAACAGATATTCTAACATTGTGTAGACATGTAGTATCTTGTGAAGTGTTCATGTGTGACTGCTGTAAGAATCGTGTTTGAGTTTTTGAATGTGTGATTAAGAAGAAACTGGATGAAAAGATGTCTGACTGGAAATATTCCTGTCCCACGGAATAGAGCGTCAGTGGAGTACCTTTTATTTTTTCTCAAAGCAACTTTCATTGATCTTTGGATTACATTCAAGTTGTCTAGTCTTACCAAGTAGGCGCTCCAGGTCTCGTTGTCTTCATCAAATTTATCAAAATTAGAACTAAACAAGTTTGTTAGGTATGAAAATGTGTTCCCCCTCTAGTTCTTGGTGTCTACCGACCACCCTTCCTCATCCTTGTCGTCATTCTAACATGATGGAACATAATTTATTCAGTTTAAAGCAAATAAAAACAAAAACAAACAAATAACCCAGCTGATAAACAATAAAATTAATATGCTCTGTTTAAAGGCAGTACAATGAGTTAACGACGTTCTAAAAGGAAAAAAATTACTTTTTTAGCTAGGTTAATAAAGTCACATTCCTAACTGAAAATGGTGAAAACTACAAGACACTAAGTCTCACAGGCTTAATCACTAACGTCTTACTAAGCCTCCTTGCCATCTATAATGATGATAACAGTATGATGGTCTTGAGCTCACTTATGAAGTAAAACGGGGCAAAGCCCGCGGGTACAGCTAGTCACTTATAAATGATGGTTGATGGTTATGTGTGTTCGTAAATAAATAAACTGTGAGTTTAACCTATTTTGTTCCAAGCCCGTAACAAGAAGATGATTTTTAGTTTTTCCTGCTTTCACACTATGGAGAAATTAAAAGGGTGACTGTGAGGGAGGGTAAGGAGATGATGGAAATAATAGTTTGGTGTTGTTTTGGTTTTCCAATGTGTTTAAGTTTAATTTCACATTGTTTACATTTACAGCCATCATCACCTATCAATTGGAATTAAATTAGATGTCTAAAGTAAGCTGGATTGTGATACAAAAGTTCATTATAACTTCTTACAAGAAAGTTGATGCCTCAATACGCTTTATCTAATCATACTGTCTGTAATGTCTTTTGTTATCTATCCTAAGCTACATATTAGTAAAATGTGTATGTTTGTTGTTACATGTACTCTCTATGTCTGTGTTTTACAGTCTGTAGTGTCAAAGTTCCATGATGTGGAGCAACTACTGTGGCTGAGTGTCCAAGTGCCAAACTTCAAAGATGAACAGAAAGCTTCTGAGTTACAAACTAACTTTGTTCTGCTGCTAAAAACCACCCTGGACACTTTACCTGTACTGAAAGAAAGTCTTCAGCCAGCTCAGACACCGTACTTCAAAAAAGTGTTGAAGGTGAACAATTATTGTACATACATATTATACAGCAGACTCCCTCTTATCCTCCGGTTAAACCAACGTCCCCAAAAACTCGTTAAAATGGATTGTTTACTGTGATATCTATCTATACTATTATAAAAAAGAGGTGGTTGCTGTATGTGTGTATGGGAAAAGTAAACTTGAAAAATACTGGTCGGATTGGGCTGAAATTTGGCATGATGATAGCTCACATTCCCGATTAACATATAGGCATATTCTTATTTCAAAAATCCTTTCGGGCTCCGCCCCAGTGGCTCTGGAGTTTCACATGTTAACCTTATGAGAAATGGAATTATTGAATCTTAACAGCTGTTTCAATTAAACAAGTTGGTTCTGTTCTATGATGTTCAATAGCATTAAAGTTACAAGGATTACCAACAGGGTGCAGCACTATTATTTCTTTTACATTTATGACAGCTAATTTGCAACCAAAAGGTGAGTGAGCGTAGCTAACGAACTTCAACCTGGAGGCGAGTTAGCGTAGCGAACGAGCTAACCTGAAGGCAAGTGAGCGCAGCGAACGAGCTCCAACCTAAAGGTGAGTGAGCGTAGCGAACGAGCTCCAACCTAAAGGTGAGTGAGCGTAGCGAACGAGCTCCAACCTAAAGGTGAGTGAGCGTAGCGAACGAGCTCCAACCTAAAGGTGAGTGAGCGTAGCGAACGAGCTCCAACCTAAAGGTGAGTGAGCGTAGCGAACAAACTTCAACCAGGACGTGATTGAGCCATGCGAACGAGATAATCTTGAAAATTAAGAAGTTAAACGGGGCAAAGCCCGCGGGTTACAGCTAGTTATACTTAAATTTAGGAGAGCATTGTATTTAGACACGTGATCACTGGTCTCAAATCTTTCCCACGAGAACAGTCGTTTTAGTACTGCCCACTTCCTGCCGATCTAGTCCGGTTAAACCAATGTGATGATAAAAATTGTCCGGTTAAAGAGATGTCATTTCCGCCGAGTGTAGTCCGGTTAAACCGATGTCCGGTTAAAAGGTGTCCGGATAAGAGGGAGTCTACTGTAGTGTATTAACATGATAAGTTGGATAAGGGCTGTTTAGATGATTGATGTTTTCAAAATAACAAAAATGATAATATTACTTAGGATATGTTTGTTAATTAATTATTAAAATAATAGAGTTTATTTAACTCCAATGAAATTTTGTTAGTTACAAATACTTTCTTTGCTCACTTCTTTTTGAAATGCAACGTTCCTGTTCCAGTAAAAAGTTTTAAGAAGCTAAATTCTAGACTTACAGATACTCAATGCTCAATGCTGTAGCAGTATCATTAACGGCTCAAAACTTGTTCCTGGCGTTCAGTAAACAACATTTTTTCATGTGTTTAAATAACATATGTAGAACAAAGATTAAATTTTTTCCTACCTAATGTGTTAACTAGAGTTTTCCACTAACAAAATATTTATTTGTGCAGGATCTTGACCATGAAAAATTTGGAATAATTTCAAATACAATCATGGAAGTTGTAAATGAAGACGCCAAAACCAAGAAAGGTTATTCTGCCTCCACATTTCAGCGGTGCTTTGCTATAAAAACTGGCATTAATGGCCTCTTAGATGTAGCCAGGGCCTCATACTCAGATATAGTGGCCAAAGTTCATGGTAAGCAGAACAGTAATTTCCCAATAATTACAGTGATACATAGCGGGTTTCCAGAATTTTTCCCCACTGAAATTTACTCTCCAAGCAAAACTGACACCATTATACAATAAATATGACGGCACTATGATATAGTAACCTGGGCGATCTCAAGTTTGTTCGCAGGTGGAATTTTACCCCCCTTGATTTGGGGGACTAATTAAAATAGGCATTAACTAACCAACCATAAACTACAGAGCAGGATTGTTTTAATCATCAATAAAAGTCTTAACTCTAGCCCATATAAATAACAATTTTAGAAAACCTTTTAAGAATGGCCCATAATTTTACAGGGTGTGTTGTAGTCAGGAAAAACGGGAAAGTCGGGAATTAGTATTGAATTTCAAAATGGTCTTGAAAAGTTGGGATTTAGTCTTTATTTTATTTTGATATCAAAGTCGAGAATTTTCATGATTTTGCCGCGATTGTGGACGACGACGATGACGTTTCCGTGGCCGTGGGAGTCAATGATGATGTCTAAACATGCTACACATGTCTACACGGCCTCGGGAAATTTTTATCTTTTTGCCGCGATCGCAGACAACGACGATGACGTTTCTGTGACCGCGGTAGACGACAATGATGTCTACACAGTGACGGGAAATGTTCATGATTTTGCCGGGATTGCGGACGACAACGATGATGTTTCCGAGAACGCGGTAGAAGACAATGATTTCTACACGACCGCGGGAAAAGTTCACGATTTTTCCGCAATTGTGGATGACGATGATGACGTTTCAGAGACCGCGGGAGATGACGATGACGTTTCCGTGACCAAGGGAGACGACGATGATGTCTACACAGCCGTGGGAAATGTTCATGATTTTACCGCAATCGTGGATGGTGACGATGACGTTTCTGTGTCCGCGGCAGTCAATGATGATGTCTACTTGCTCGTGGAAGATTTTCATAATCCAAAAAATCCAAATTGCAGAGTCAAAGTTAGAATTTTCCATTGCTGCAATTTTTTCATTACTTGAAAACACTCCATTATCAAAGACAGGTTGGTTCAGAATTTGAAAATTTGGCTAAATTATAAAAATTGGGTATCGGTATCGACAATTGAGAATCGATACATTTTGGTATCAACACATCACTAATTGTTGAAAAAACTAGTCTTGGAAAATCTGGAATTAGTCTTGAAAAGTGTGGAACTAGTCTTTAATTTTTAAATGGAAATAAACTTAAGTCGGGACCACGAAAGTTTGCAGTTGAGGGAGGAGCCTATTTACCACGTGACTTCAAAGGAGCAAATGAGGACACGGCGGTGTTGCCAAATCTAATAATACCAGCTGATTTGAAAATATTGTTTAGTATTTTAATTAGTGTCGTAATCGGGCGATATGGCAACGTCGCACTAGCCTTTTCTTGTGATTGGCTGCCGCAAACTGCAAACTTTCGTGGTCCCATCTGTAGACACCACTGTAGCGGTACTGGGCTCATAGGATCCATTTGAGGCTCAATTAAAGTCAGAGATTTCCTGTGCGTGCTACCATTTGAAGGCAGAATATTTTATTTAACTTAACTAAATAACTGAGCCAAACCACATTTATATCACAGCCATTTTGATGATTTAAATTTAGTAATGCATTGTACCAATTATACTAATAAATAAGAGTAAGCTAAAAACTCCCTTCGCGCCATATGGGCCCGAAAGGTACTGTTAACTCAGTTTACATAATATAAATATTTAATTAATGATAGAATCCCTAACCCCTTAGTCCCCCCCCCCCCCCCCCCCCCCCCCCGTACTGCTTAATACTATAACTTATCGATCTCATTCCCGTTCCTCGACGATGTGAACACTCCGGGGACTCCAGGCAATGACTGACCTCCTTCTACCCCTTCCCAACTCCCTCCAGAGTTCGCGACTAAGGCGGATTGAACAGGTTGATGGCGGCTCAGCTGTGACGCGAGCGTCACACCACGACGATGAAGTTTCCGAGACCGCAGGAGTTGACTTGACGTTTCTGTGTCCGCGGCAGTCAATGATGATGTCTACTTGGTCGTGGAAAATTTTCATCATCCAAAAAATCCAAAATTGGCTTAGTCAAAGTTAGAATTTTCTATTGCTTTAATTTTTTCTTTACTTGAAAACACTCCATTATCAAAGACAAAGGTTGGTGTAGAATTAGAAAATTTGGCTAAATTATAAAAATTGGTTTCGGTATCAACACATCACTAATTGTTGAAAAAAACTAGTCTTGGAAAAAGATTGTTTGTTTGTAAAAAAATTTGTGAACCAAGATTGTGATTTATAACATAGAGCTTGTTTGGTTCGTAGTTTTAAAAACATTAACCACAAACTAAAATTGACAGTTGACACCTGACCAGGTTTAGAGCATTGACGAATCTGGCTTAAATTACAAAATGCAGCACCAAACATAGGCATACGATATGTAGCAATGCCAATGGTAGTCATAAATCATCCCTGTTTGTCATAGGGAAAGCTAAAAAAAGCCAGGGCTATTAAGAATATAAATATGGCCTCATTGCCGGTTTACTACAGGAATCAGAGATCAGCCTGGAAGAATTCGATGATTTTTAAGGAGTGGTTTGGTGAGCAGTTTGTCCCCTCGGTCAAAAACCACCTCAAAGAAAAAAAGCTCCCAGAGCGAGCAATACTGATCCTGGACAACGCAACCTCCCATCCCTCAGAGGAAGAACTCTCCCAGCAAACATAACATATTTCATTCAACCTATGGATCAAGGAGTGATTGAGTGGCTGAAGAGGCGATATCGTCGTAAGTTTATCGGGTCAATCCTAGAGAAAACTGAAGAAAGTAGTAGCTTGGTTCAGGTTTTAAAACTGATAAATATCAAGGATGTAGTTCACACAAGCATGGGAGGAGATGTCGCCTTCAACACTTGAAAAGTCATGGCGCAAACTGTGGCCGAACATGAAAAATAAAACCATAATGAAGAAGAAACCGACCTTGAAAATCCAGATGAGATTATCTATAAATAAAGACATAGAAGACACGGCTGCAATCTTAAAGGATCTTCAACTCAAGACCAGAAGTTCAGCCCAATGATGTCGACGAGTGGATTGAAAATGCCGACATGCATTGTTCAATGGAAGAAGAACTCATTGATGAGCAAATAATCGGAACTGTTACAGAAAGAACGGATGAAAAGCAAGAGGACATAGAGGATGGAGCCACGAAGCCTGCACCAAGGGTTTCACATTCAGATGCAAAAAATGAATTTGATATAGTGCTCCAATACATCGAGCATAGTTCAAAGTCTATATCAATGGACAATTTGTGGGTCCGGAAATGGAGGAACATAGCAAAATCACGGTTTTCGTCTGCCAAGCGAAAGAACATTACTGACTTCTTTCATCATACGAAGTTAATAAAGTGAAGACCAATAATGTTATGTGTGTTGTTGTGTTTTTATTTGTGTGTATAGGCCTATTATAAGACCTACCATAAATTATAACCCTATGTGTAAATTTTCTTTTTTATAGTTCCAATAAAGTAGGCCTAATGTTTTTTCCGTTCCAGTACCGTATTTTACTTGCTTTGCTCTATGTTCCAAAACATATTCTATAACATAGTTGAGGTTATGTTTGCTTAGAATCTGTTGGATTAACATTTTTTGAAGTTTAATTGTAAATAAAATACTCCTCTTATTGGCCTTTTTTGCGTTCCGACCATACCCCCAGTCGCAATAGGGACGGATTAGCGAGGTTGTACTTACATAGTTAGGTATTGGTTCTCAAACTGTTATAGTGTTTTTGGCTTGTTCGAGTTACTGGTTTATTTAAGTTTACAGATTTATTTAGATTTGGAGTAATTGGAATCATTTGTAATAACCATAACATTAACCATACCAGAAAATGGAGTTTCAAGATGTTATATTCTATATTCAAAATCATACCAGTGATTATGGAAATAAGTAAGGCTGCATAACCAATAGCCATTGTTGCATGGTTAGTTTAGTGTATTTTAGAATAGCTGGGTAGCTAAGTGGTTATAGTGCTTGCCTGGTAATCAAAAGGTTGCCGGTTCGTTTGTGAGAAAAGTCAACTAGTGTATAGCTTTTTGATGGTTTGAAACTAGACCTAGCTGTCCTTGATCATTGGGCTATTAATTAACGGTCCCGGTTGATAAAACAGCTGGTCTTACAAAGCTATACAAGGCGTCTCACTTCATTCTACGCTCATCCTTCACTAAAATATTCACCTTTATCATTATATTTTTGCCGGATTTAAAATTCTGCTGCAATCGCGGGAGACGATGATAATGTCCACATGATCGCGAGAAAAGATAATCATTTGCGGTAGACGATTATCATATGACTGTGGGCGCGGGAGGCGATTACTATGTCCACACATATGACCACAGCCCGGGGGGGGGGGGGGGGGAGAGAAGGGGGAGGACGATATTATGATGTCTTTACAGCTGTGAGGGATGATCAGCATTTTACCTCATTCGCGGTGGACGATGATAATCTCCTCAAGACTGCGGGATATATTCATATATTGTCGAGATCGTAGAAGACGATAGTAATGAAAATAGTGCAAATTTTGCCGCAAATGCGGGACACGATTACAATGTCAACACGACCGCGAGGGATTATCAGAAGTTTACCGCGATCGCATGCAAATACAACCACCATTTTTTTATTTTCCAATTTTTTGGTGCCCCTATAAAAACCAATTGCCTCACACTCTAGGCACGTGCCTACCGTGCCTATTCGGTAAATCAGCCCTGGGCAGATGTGTCATACTATAATAGCATACTGTAAATTTAAAAAACCAAATTTTCTCAAACCGTACCCTCTCTATTGCAAACGCAAAACACGAGTGTAACTGCAGTAAGCATTTTATACTTATACTCCAACCCCATATGAAGGACGGGTACTCAGCTAGTAATTTATATAGCCTAAGTCATCCAATTATTTACATACTAGTTCAGTTTCTTATATAAAAAAAACAAAGTAATGGATGTTGCAGACATGTTTTGTATAATTACGTGAAACAAAGAACCATATAGTTTTGGAGGAGCCTTATGTGTTCCAACTCATAAAAATATCTTATCCGAAGAGTATTTTTCTTTACGACAAAGACATGAACATTGATCAAATTGATTTACATCAAGAACAAGGACTCCTAATCATTCTGCAGTCCCCAGTGGACGTTAAGAACCACAATATCTTTGTGTTCTCCCGTTGCAAAGGAAACCCCTGGTTTTGTTATAATATAACATTAACCTGTTATAGAAAGTAGAAAGCATCGTTAACTACCGTGATAGCCCAAAGACAGATAGACTCTTGTCGTGTCATATGATAGCAGACCAATATCAATTTCAGTTTTTTCCATTCAGCCAGAGTTGGAGAAATGGGAGAAGAATTTGGCTTGCCATTGAGAACCTGCTCAACAAGCAGCAAGGGTTTCCACATTCAACTGAGTATAAAACGAAATGAGAAATTTTCTGCTAAGGATCTTCCATCAGTTTTTATACAGGTCAGTTTTCTTTTAGTAAAATAGTGAATAAACATTTTATATTTCTTTTTCTTCTAAATATATATTACGCGTTCAGACCATAAAGTTCTTCTTTTTGCTACTATAGTCAAACTTTGCTAGGTTATTTAATATCCATCCATCCATCAATCTACAGTATACTATTTTTTAAATGAGGTGGTGTGTGCCTGTGCAGCTGTCACGACTAAAATACTAACCCTTATAGCCAAAATTAATCAGAAATATGGTCCATATATCAGGGAATGTCATAGGCCTATTTACTTCCCTGAATTCACCTCGGGCTACTCCCCGGGGATGTCCAAAGGTCTGAGGTGAGATTTTCAAAAGTAAATATTGTAGGGATGGGTGAGTAGTGTTTTTTGAGTTGAGTCGAGTAATTAGCCCTAATACTCGAGTATCGAGTCGAGTCGAGTAGTTTACGAGAAAATCAACAATTTTATTTTACATATATTCCATCTTTATTTTTACGAACAAAGCATTTCTCAACTCACAAAAAAATAGACCTGGTCAAAAACTTTTATACCATATAAAAAACACAATATGTATGTGTATCAAACTTATATTTTGGTGTTAAAGGTTTATTATTAATTGCAAAAAACAATTGCAAAAATATGGAACTAAGTGTTTATTTTAAAATAGGTAAATGTTTGAATTTGTTTGAATTTGACTAAAGCATGAGATCTAATAAAGTTTCCTCTAATTTATAAATAGGCTTATGAGTCATTTGTCTAAGTCATTTGTCAGTTTTTGTATTTATTTGAAACTAGCTGTACCCGCGGGCTTTGCCCCGTTTAACTTCATAAGTATTCGCATGGCTCATTCACGTCCTGGTTGAAGATCGTTCGCTATGCTCACTCACCTTCAGGTTAGCTCGTTCGCTGCGCTAACTCGCCTCCGGGTTGAAGTTCGTTCGCTACGCTCACTCACCTTTTGGTTGGAAATTAGCTGTTGTCATAAATAAAAAAAAAAAATAATAGTGCTGCACCCTGTTGGTAATCCTCGTAACTTTTATGCTATTGAACATCATAGAACAGAACCAACTTGTTTAATTGAAACAGCTGTTAAGATTCATTAATTCATTTTAAATATGAAAAATCATAAGATTAACATGGGGAACTACAGAGCCACTGGGGCGGAGCCCGAAAGGGTTTTTGAGATAAGAATATGCTTTAATGTTAATCGGGAATGTGAGCTATCATCATGCCAAATTTCAGGCCAATCCGTCCAGTAGTTTCTGCGTGATTGAGCAACACACACACACACACACACACAAACACACACACAAACTCACAAACTTTCAGATTTATAATATTAGTAAGATTGCATGAAATTGTCTTAGTTAACTCATTAGGTTATAAATTATTTTTTAAATTACGTACATCTTGGCCTACAAATACTCTTTGTAAGGTAAGTTTTTCCCCCCAAGTGAGTAAAAACTAACTTCCTGTATAATGACATTTTCTCACTAATTATATATCTTCAAAATTTGTTTAACTATGAAAAAGTCACCAAGTCTAGCTGAAAACACATTCATAAATGAGGATATTTTTGAAATACAGAATAATTAATCAAACAACATTTTTAACACTTTTATTTCTTAACTTTTTTTCCTTGTAAATGTCAACAGTTTTTCACTTATTAGTTATTTTTAATAAAGATTATCACTTATAATTTTTTTTAAGAAGTCTATGTGTGAGCTATGAAGAGCAGACAAGTGACATACGTCACTGCCACAAAAACTCTTCTCTACTGTGAATGATTCAATGGATGAACTGAGTTTATTGTGTGAAGCCCCGCCCACTGTCTAACGGGACATGGGGGCGGAAAAGAGAAAGTTTGTCAGAATTTGCCCTTGTTCTAAAGCCTGGTTCACATGCCCTCCCTCACCCTCGGCCTCAGTCCTTTGCAGATTTCCATTATCAGAAATCAGAAATTACACAAGAGTGTCAATTATTTTAAAATACTGTAAATGTTTGAATTTGACTATGATGAGATCTAATTAAGTTTCCTCTAATTTATAAATAGGCTTATAAGTATTAATCTAAGTCATTTGTCAGTTTTTTTATTTCTTTTTAAAAGCAATTGCAGTTATACATTTAAATAAAATTACAAACATCTTGGCCTACAAATACTTTTTGTAAGCAGAGTCTTTTCTCTAGTTAGTAAAAACTATCGTGGTCAAGGAATGAACTGTGCTAATACAGCACATTGTCAATGTTTACAAAAGTATTTTGACTGAAATCTGAAACCCTGGTATTTTTTAAAGGCATTGCAGAATGAGTCGATGTACGTGGAGAAAAGTATGGCAATAGATAGGTTTTACTTTTAGCCTACAATAAAGATTATGTTTTGGGACTAAAATCTCCAAAAGAGTGCTTTTAACAAACATTCCATAGTTTTATTTAGTAACAAAAGTGTTTGACTATGTTCCCGATTATACAGGGAGCGGCAGAAATATCTGACGGTTTTCAAGCGAGTACAGTCCGGCAGCCGAGTGGAGGGGGGTGGTGGGGAGCGGCTCATTCTCAAGGCCAAGTGATGCCATTTCAGTCGCCATGGAGCAGTGGATTAGTATACATCGCGCGTTTGCCGTTGAGGCGTTTTTTAAAAATGGCGATTCTGTTGTTGGTACGCAACATAAGTTTCGGAGGCATTTTAATGTGGCTCGTGGGGAACCTATCCCATCCCGAAACACCATCAAATTGTGGGTGGATACCTTTAGATCACAGGATCAACTGCAAAACGTAGGCCTACAGGCCGTCCAAGGCCAGTGAGGACGCCTGAGAACGTGGAGCGAGTGCGACAAGCTGTGCTAACGAGCCCGCATCGCCCGGCGCGTAGACAAGCTGCTGCTCTTGGCATGTCTGATCGCTATATTCGACGAATTTTGCACTCAGGCCTTCACTTTCACCCGACGATTTTGAATATAGCGATCAGACATATTCGAGGCGAGGTAGCGTAGCGAACGAGCTCCAACCGTAAAGGTGAGTGAGCGTAGCGAACGAACTTCAGCCAGGACGTGTGAGCGCAGCGAACGAGCTCCAACCTAAAGATGAGTGAGCGTAACGAACGAACTTCAACCAGGACGTGATTGAGCCATGCAAACGAGCTCACATATGAAGTTAAACGGGGCAAAGCCCGCGGGTACAGCTAGTTACATAATAAATATTAAATAATTAGTATAGACCAAAGGCATCACAGATGTGGCTAAGTTGACGCTACATCAGCCCCCCGCAGAGACTGGAAGTCCAGGAAGCTTTAGCTTTACATTTCGACCAGATCGAGTTGTATAGTTTCTGAACAATGATGCCGGGTTTGGAGGTTTCAGGGATGTGTTCGAAGATTGTATTTTTATATTTTGAGGCTCTTTGATTGTTGGATGATTACATTTGTCAGGTAACACATATGCAGGCTTCACCCTGTCTAAGCTCACTCGCACTTGTTTGCCATTCTGTGATATTACTAAGGATTTTTCATCACGAGAAATTACAGAATATGGATTGGCACAGGGATGGTAACTGCAAGTTCTGATTTTTTCAGAGCCGAAAGTTATTCCAAGGGACTTAAAGAGGGATGATTCGAATTGGCGGCCTTGATCAGTAGTTATTCTTGAAGGAGCACCATAACGAGTAAACCAGCACGAGACTAGACCTTCAGCGACTTCTTCTGCAGTAATCCCCTTTAAAGGATGAACCTCAGGCCACCTAGTGTAACGGTCTATGACTGTAAGACAGTATTTGTATGGTCCTGCTGGTGGTAAAGGCCCAATAATGTCAACATGGATGTGCTCAAAGCGTGATGATGGTAAAGAAAATGTTAATAGAGGAGCTTGCAACGTTGGCATCGCTCACAAGTACGAGCCCAGTTACGACAATCTTTTTGAATACTTGGCCAGACAAATCGATCTGCTACAAGCTTTGCAGTAGCTTTAATGCCTGGGTGGCTGAGGTCATGTAGCAAATGAAATACCCTCTTCCGTACTTCAACTGGAATATAAGGCCTTTGTGTCCCTGTTGAAGTGTCACAAAAGATTACTGAGTTTGTTCCAGGGATTTGGATCTTCTGTATTTTGAGAGATGAATTGTTATTGTTTATGAGGTTGATGAGTTCGTCATCTGAGCTTTGTGCTTTGGCAATCGACTCAGGACCCAATGAACATGAAATAGCCTCTACACGTGATAAAGCATCGGCAACAATGTTTTCTGAACCTCCGATGTGTTTTATGTCTGTAGAAAACTCAGATATGAATGAAAGCTGACGTAGTTGAACAGGTGGAAGTTTCTCACGAGGTTGATGAAAATCAAAGATGAGTGGCTTATGATCCGTAAAAATGGTAAATGCTGTGGTTTCCAAAAAATGACGAAAATGCTGTACTGCTTCATACACAGCAAGAAGTTTACGGTAGTACGCCGGCCAAGAGCTTTGCTTTGGTGAAAGTTTCTTAGAGAAGAATCCAAGTGGCTGCCAGGAATTTTCAACAAATTGTTGAAGGCAAGCTCCTACACTGACGTCAGAGGCATCAGTAAACAGTCCAAGAGGGGCGTCATGTTTCGGATGATATAGTAGTGTCACTGATGACAAACTAGACTTGCAAGCTTGAAACGCTTCCTCAGTCTCCGGGGTCCAAGGCACAGGAAGTGATCTTTTGCTATTTGCACCACCAAGCAGAGAGTGTAAACGTGCTTGGAGTTCTGCAGTAAAATTCTGTAAAATTTTACTATTTTTTACACCAATATCATTCAATACAATCATTCACATTAGCAAAATTTAAAATAATTAATTAGGGTTAGATACAGCAACAGATATACAATCTCACTTATTTCATAAAATCAATAATCAATGAACCATCAAATATAAGAATAAATAAACATGTCACATGATGGTAGAGAATATTATATGCCTATTTATAAACCAGCTGTGGACTTTTGAATTAATGTGGTTTGACAGTTCAGCTTGTTTACTTTTGGGTGGCATAGCAAATT